CAAGGGCTATTACGGTATTACCCAATCAAGTTAGAGCCTGAAGTAGGGCGTTACCATTTTTCTTTTGAGAGATAAGTAGGGTATTACCTCGCAACTGCTTTCCATGATACCTCCACCACCAGGCTATGGCCCTCCAAAAGCTCAGTCTTCTCAGTGGTCACGAGTGCCCATCATTGGATGTCAGCAAATACCAAATTATCTATTGATACTGCTGGCTATGAACGCACCTTCAAATTATGCACCCATAACCTCTTCAACTGCTGCTTGCTACGAGGCTGCTCAAAGGTTCTTTAGTTCTTTTCAGCTGTACCGCATAAATTCAAGAGGTTGGAAAATTGCCAGATTCCTCATGCTAATGTCATTTATTAAAATGCCAATGGGAATTACATGAAACTGTCAAAAGAGGAAATTTAGCTCTACAATCACACATGAATAAAAAGAATTTGAATACTGGATTCGGAGGTGATCTAATGGACATAATCCACAAGGTAGATGTGTCATACTAAAACTTCCGAAGCTAATCCCACTATGCTCTTCATATTAGTTTTTGCTTCACTCCACATAGCTCAGGCTCACAAAGCTCCGTCCTAGATATGAGCATGTCAGACCTGATGGCCATGGTTTACAATGTGGATTTTCTATACTCAAACCTACAAAGTGCAATATGCTCTTCATATGTAGCTTTTGCTTGCCATGATCTAGCCTCACTAGTATCAATCTTTGATATCTGCATGTCAGAGAGTAATAATATCACAATTTTGCAAATTAAAAAACAAAATTAATGACAGTTAATTGCAAGCCACAAGGCCCAAAATCATCAAATAGACAAATACTAGTAATTGTTTCTATCATGAGCATCAACTTTCTAACATGAGAGTTGTGAAGTGACAGCATAAACTCAGATATTTGGCTAATAAACTAGGATTCTTCACCTAGTTCACCAGCAACTAAACACGATATGTTAAATCCAGAAAAGAAAGCATAAATTTTGTGATAAGTGAAGATGTTTTTTTAAGACAAAGAGGAGACACAGAATCTATGGCATATTGGCATGGAACGAAAAAAAAATTGCACTGCATCTTGCAAGGAAGATATTGGAAGGTAGAGTAAGCAGCTTTTGTACTATATATAGCAGCTATGAACTCTGAGGACTAATGAGAATAAACAGTTTGATGACCGGAATAGCACAGCGTAAGAGTCAGCTTGGATCTCAAATGTATTCTTTGGATTAATGATGAATAATAAATCCAGATAGTTAAATGAAATTTAAAAAACAAGTTGGGATTTAGGTAAAGAACAACCTTCCAATACTCAACAGCATGTATTTAAAATGCTTACCTCTATCAGATTCAGAATCTTTTTCCTTCAATACTTCAGAACTTTCAGAAATAGCCTTTCTCTGTGAAGATATTGCATTTTCTCCATCGAATTTATCTGTCCCTTTCAAAATATCTAAGTCCTTCAAGTATGAAAAGCTGTCATTTGCCTTCTGTTGCAATCTCCGAAACTGAGATGGAATGTCCCAAGTATTGCTTCTTGTGGCTATTAAAGCTGAAAACATAACCTCCCAATCAAAAATGCAAGCTAAAAATTTAAGATTTAAGCTACAGCAATCAGCCAAAATGAGAATAAAAGAAAAGGCATAATTAGAGAGCATAGATTTGTAAACAATAAGGCTAGCTAAGACAATAAAAAATTCATCGTTAACTCCTCACAACCAAAAAATCCGCCTCTTAGCAGATAAGAATAAAGTTTACACTTAAAATGCAATCAAAGAAATCTTAATAGAATAGAACATATACAGAGGTACAAAATCAGAAATATAGCTAATGTCACCATGACCAGAAAACAAAGGAAACTAAATTCGGCATTTTGCCAATTATGTTACGTTCTTCAATCATCAGAACCACTAAAAATGCACTTGAGGCAGAGCTGAATAGGCCAGTGTTCTTTATAAGGGACATATATTTAATAAAGTCTCATCTAAACTGTTGTAAACTTGCTCTCTTGAAAATTGCAAGTGCTTCTAACCATTAAAATTGATTCATGTATTAAAACATAGACATGAAGAATGTTCCAGCAATCTTTGCTTAGTCACAATGTTTTAACCTAAATCTGTGTGTCTTTGCATGATAATTGCATAATAATTATAACAAGCTGCTCTTTTTTTTTATCTTCATCCCTAACTCCTATTGCTATTTTCCTAATATAGTTGACCTATACAGCATCAACCTCCAGATCCATCGCATAGTACACTTAAAAAGAAGAATTTCATTGGTGTGGCAAGTAGAAACATGCCATAATTATGCTTCAAAACAAATTGAAATTATTGCAAAAGGCCATCTATATCTTAAAACCGACAACCTAAAGAACTTAGATGAGGTTCAACATGTACATCAACTCCCTTGCCAAATCTTTGAAACTATAGTGACTTCACGTTTTGTTATCTATCATCACGCCTGCCATAAGTAAATGTAAACAAAAACGAATTACGACTTTAATGAAAGTTGAATAATCCTAGGTACGAGTAGCAATATTTCTCCTTTAAAATGAAGGTGTAATTGAATTAGTTGTAGGATGGGTAATTCTAATGTACATAACAGTTGAGTGATAAGCAATAATGTTACCTTTAGGAGCATCGTTGAGAGTATATACAGGAAGGCCAATGCCAAAACCAACTAGAGTAATACCGACACTAAATCCAATTCCACATCCGGCACCAACATATCCAATCACCTCAGGTCCAAAACCAGGACCCCAACCCACACCGCAACCAATCCCTACTCCCATTCCCCAAAAGGCTCCATGGTGGATGCACAGGATTCCATCTCTCATACCTCCTGAAGAGCCCTTTTATTATCATAAGGACCTGAGAATGTAGATAAATGATCACATTTATGCCTATGTCACTCTACTGCCTATACTAGTTAAGAATCTCATAGCAATATATATTAAAACACAAGCTATGTAACATCATTTACATGTCCAATCACTAACATTTATGGTAAAAAAAAACTTTAGAAATGGTAAAAAAACATTAAGAAAGCATCAGAAGGCCAAACTTCCAACTAGAACCAAACTATGACCATGGTTTGTAGTGCCATTGCCATCATCATTTCATGATTGTAGAGCCATTGTCATTGCATGAAAATCACACTTTAAGCCATCCAAAGGAAGTTCGTGAATTGCTCTAAATCACATCATTTAGGTTTCTTCCCTGTTACACCCATAGAAGACAACTCACTATACAACCCCCCGCAATTGGTTACACTCTACACACTAGAATGTCTAGAAAAGCGGTTTTAAATGGTTTTTTACAGGCAAATGCTAATAGAGCTTATTCACGATTAAGACCCTAGTGTACGCAAGCAAACTTAATGTGCACAAGCAATAAAACCATTACCAATGCCAAGAAAAAAGTGCCTCTAACAAGCTCCATAGTCCCACCCAAGGCAAGGTCAAGTAATAACACTCGTCGAATTGACTAGAATCAATTGGGAGAATTAACATTCTCCCAATGTCCCATCTAAGCATGAAATAGAAGAGAAATTGTTGGTATAAACAGCAAAATGCTGAACTCGAGACCGCGCTCATAGTCTCACATGGCTGATGTTGGATCAATGTGGGGTTAAGACACCATATCTCCACCCCTCTTTACAATTTTCATGTAAACACACATATCCCTCAAATTTTAGTTATAATAATCATAGAATACCAGCTGATTATAACTTATTCATTAATTGATAGAATGGTAATTCTTTAAAATAGGGGTCCAATCAAAACCCTCAATACTGATTGAAATTTCATACAAATGCTCATCAAATAACAATGGACAAAACATGGAAAAACATAGTCATACTACGTATAACTTATATTATGATTGAACATTCTTATACAACAATGGGGTTATGAAACTAAAAAATTGAATAAATACCCAGAAAACCTCTAGTCATTCTTCATTAACCCCAGATAAACTAGTGTAAAATGAGCTTAATTCATACAATACAAACACTGAGAAAAAAAAAAAAAAAAAAAAAAAACATGAAAATTACAAGTTAATTAGTTAAAACATAGTAAGATACCATTCAAATTGCAGATGAAAATCAAAGCAAAGTTCACCTCCAAAATCAAGTTGTTCCCTTTTTTTTTTTGTGTTTACCTGGGTTTTGTGTGATGGCAAGCGGGAGTTGAATTCGGATGAAACAAATTGCTTGCGAGTTTGGACTGGGTCCAATTAAGAATCGGGCTCTAAAATTCTTAATTAATATTCATAATCATAAGTAGTTAATTAGTTACGGATTATGGTGTGGTATTTGATAATCCCTTATCACCTTTATGGCTTTATCTTATCTTTGGAGCTATTTTAGGCCCACTAGCTCTATTCTCTTTTGTACTCCGTAGATTTTTTTGTCAAAATATTTTATGCAACTTTCACGTTTTTTTTATTTGTCATTCATAGTTCGATTTGTTAACGGGTTTCAGTACTAATACGATTTAACATCATTTGATTGGTTCGATTTTGGTTTAACTACAATACAATTTGGGTTGGTTTTCGGTTTCAAATAACCGGCTTTTAATTGGTTTGGTTTTTATTTGGTTCGGTCGATTTCAGACGGTTTAAACGATTTCATTTTTGAAATTTAATATGGCTATTTTTTTTGTTTTTTTTTTCTTCTTCTTATCAAATCTTCCATTAGTAGATTTTCTGCAGCTTTCAAGTTGGCATCACTAATTGACTATCAATAATATAATTTGTTAGTTTAATTTGGTCATAAATTGTGATGCTCATAACGTAAGAGACCAACTCATAACTGGAGGTAGTATTTTTGTTCACGGGAGCACGTACAAAGACTTTGATCACAACTGCCCCTGAAAGAGTTCTAGAGTGCATTACTTATAACACCACTGATTAAGTAATAGTACTTCGTATTATAAATTTAGACGCAATCACAAAAAACTTCAATAACAAATGCATCTCAATTTGATATTTATCGAGTACTCAGACTCCTTATTTTTCTAATACTCGTGTCGAATACTTGACAATCATACTAGATGTAATGTTAATTAATACATTTTGTTTTGCAAAAAAACTCGCTAGGTTGCTACTACCTTTAATTTTCATGTATATTTGACACTTGAACACATACTCTTTTATCTTGTTATAAACTTTAGTCGAGTCTAACTCGTATCTAAACTGTTTATTTATTTGATGATATTACGTAATTAATACATAACAATGACGATATGGGTAAACATTACTTCATATATAGTTTTGCATTAAAGGAGTGATACATTTATCACTATTGTAAGTCTTGTTAACCCCCAAGTTGACTATATCAAGTCAACTCCATCAAAAGAGTGACAATCAACATTACATATGTATGCAACTTGGACATTAAAGATTACTACTTTGGTTACATGGTGATATTGATGACAACGGCAACTCCCATACCATGGCAATCTTTCCATTTCAACGCAAATCTTTGCTAAAACTATATAATACTCACATCAATATACGTGTCATAATATTGGACTATCATCATTCTTCAAAATTCGTTGCATAAACCACAAGAATATTCAAGCTGAAGATTATAACATTCATGCTCAATTATGATTCTATATTCCAGATCTTTTGCGATTGATACAGCATTGAATATACCTTTAACCACCATATCATGAAAGGCAGTAACAAAGATCTCCATGAATTGCACACTAATAATTTTATACATTTAAATGTATAAAATTATGAGGGCATGCTATCAAGTAGATGATCAACTGATCAATTCAAACCTATCGAAGTCATGTTTACCACGTCGACAATCAACTTTTATAAATAGCATTCATGAACACTTGTTAAACTTACATTTTATTTTCAATTTAAATACATAAAGAATCTTTCAATACATATCCATAGGCAAATCATTTTAAAAAAATAGTGACAATCATTAGAAAACCAATATTCCGTAATATAAAACCAGTAATAATAATTTTTTTTTTAAAAAGTTATTTTAGCATCTTGAATTAATTGTCGAGTAAGGTGGCATTTGAATTCAATTTTCAAGGCATGTTTCCAATCACTTGCCATAATGGTCATTGTTTAACCCGCATAATAATAAATATAATCATTGCTTAAGATTTGCTTAAATTAAGGCCTTAAGCCATGAACCTGTTAATACACGTTCTACTTTGTCTTTCATGGGGAAAAGTCAACCCATTAACTGTATAAGTATTTGACCAAGGCTAGATCTTCGGCCTCTTCCTACTTGTTAATATAAGGTAGGGTCTAGGGGAGTATATACATTTTTTTTTTGAGGGAATAGGGGAGTATATACATACAGCTATTTTGGCTTTGTAGTACTCCGTAGTCAATAATAGTAAAGTTATATGACTAAGCTAATACGAAGTATGTTGGTAAAATCAACATACGAATTAAAAGAAATTCGAATATTCGACCTTTATAGACATTAATAAATTTATGATCATCCAAAGCTTAGATTAATTTGTTAAAGTTGATAAAATATAAACCAATCTAATATTACAAAAATTAATAATAATCCTTAATTCCATATAATACTACATACTGTATAATTTTATTACGTATGGTTGAATGGCTTATTTGAAAAAATTGGTCTGAAAATGAACTAAAATTGCACACTTACATACAATCGCTACTACATTTTTCCACTTAATGCATAAAAAGTATGGATAATAACTAATGAAAACCGGTACAACTATTAATTCACCTCGTCATCTTCCTTCCCTGAATACCCTCTCAATGTCACATTAGTTGAGGCAGAATCCTTTTTTTGGTACCTCTTGTATATATCCCCTTTGTAGAATTTCCTAGTTCTAGCCACGAGAATCAGAGACACGAGCGCGGTAACGAATGTAGCCGCGGTGATTATGAAGTAGGCCAATTGATAGCACTTGACTCCGTAACAATGCAGCTCCTCGCCATGCTTCCTAGTGAGGCCCTGCGCCTTGAGTTGTCTTAATCCCTCCCGGTCATACAAATGCCCGGCGATTCTCACATTGAATATGAAAGACCCTAGTGGAGCGGCCAATGAGCCGTAGTTGTACAAAGTACCATAATGCTTGAGCCCAAAGAGCTCGGATATTATGGTAAAGAGGTAAGTCCACTCTGCACCAAAGCAGAATCCCATGATGACTGATGCCACATAGAGGCCATACGGCACATTGAAGGCTATGAGAAGGTGAGGAATGCACGATACGAAGAGAACGATGCTAAGACAGGCAGGTCTAGGCCACTTGTATTTGTCTAACAAGCGCTCTGAGATGAGTCCTCCCATTACACGCCCAAGAAACTGCCATATAGAAACTAATGACACGAACGCACTAATGCTTTTCTTTGGGTATCCTAATGAAGTCCCGATTTGTCCTAGGTTATCTATGGTGGTTAAATTCCCTCCTATCCCACATATTGTGGCAAGGAACAGAATTTGCATGTCGACGCTAAAGGTGGCCTGTAGGATGGAGTGGTTTTTCCCCCTTAGCTGGAGGACGGAACACATCTTTATTCCAAGCTGATTCTACATGTTCAGGAGAGTTATTAGTTGCTAAAGCTTGATTTTTTACAGGAGATACATGGTTTTCAGGCACGATTTTTAGCTCGGAAAGGGTACTGGAAGCATTAGAAAGCTTGTTTTTCCAAATAGCATATTCTTCTCTGAAGACTAGAAAGATAGGCAAAATGAGAAGAACAATAATGACAGCAAAAGGTTCCACTATAACTAGCTTTGCTGAACTCAACCTGTTTTTGTACTATGATCATCACCATGATGAACCCGGCAAGACCAAGAGACATGCAAAGAACGTCGTTAAAGAATTTCCTGTCTCTTTTGATATTTCTTCCGGCAACATCAAGGACTCGAACACTAAACGCAAAGAGCAGCGAAACAGCTGCTGGTAGCCAAGAGATGATCAAGATGACCCCGCTAGTGTTAGAGTTATCCCCATACAAAGCATGGTAGAATTGGGTCATTATAGCCCCACCTATTCCAAGATATGACTTTAAGATCCCAATCACAACCCCTCGATTCTCAGGGAAGTTCTGGACACAGGGCACAAGCCCTCCGGTGTTGGCAAACCCCAAAGAATTTGCACCAATGGTGATGTAGAGGCACATCAGCCAAACTGGGGGCTGGGAGATCTTGTTAGTGACTGCAAGCCAAATCATGAAGTAGCCGAAAAAGTTCACCACACCTCCTACTGAAAGGACCACCCAAGGTGGAGCTACCTCCATTAAAAGACCGGCATGGACACTGACATAAGTGCCTAGGTCCTTAAAGAAGCTAAGCAGATTAAGAGTGGTTTGGTCATAACCAAGGCTTGTTTTTATGTCACCTGAGTATAGACCGAAGATATAGGCAGCCCCAATAAAGCCGAGAATCATGAGGGTAGAAAATACAATGAAGAAGCGCCCTGCTAGGAGCTGTACTGTGAAGCTCCTAGCACTAGCACAACCACCATTGTAGTTATCAGTGGACATTTTAGAGACTTTTATTTTTGTTTCCTTTTTTTTTTTTTTTTTTTTTTGTTGGTATGCTCTGTTTTATTTGGTTTGGTGATTGGAATCCCTTACTAGGAGAATAGTAGATATAATGGGAATTGTTTAGGCTTCTGCACTCCAGTTTCTGGGGAAAGTGTGTTTCATTTATACTTGCAAGTGCATTTCGTATGAAGATTGTTTATTGTAATAGTAGCTGTCATTCTTGTGCAACTGTATGAGTTGTTCAGTATATCTATAGAAATATAATTATTTAATTCAAAGAATTTGATAGAGTAATATTTTTATGTGTATATATTTAGACCATCTAAACGACTAAACTTGATGTATATACTTTCTTGAAATTAACAGTAGCTATTCTTCCGCAATTGTCAAGTTGGCATAATTATTTGACTGTGTAAAATATAATTAGGTAGCTTAATATATATGATAGTGAATCTTGATGCATCTTTAATAACTATAGGCTGTTTGCAAATTAATTTAGTACTCGTAGTTTAATATGGTCGTGATTAGTGGTGCTCGCAACAAAGAAAGAGCCAATCACAATCATATTGTATCCTTAATCATGGGAACCTGAACATAACTATTGCTAAACTATCTCTAACAAGAAGAAGAAAAAAAAAGTGGTTTAGAAATTAATTTCATTTGCATATATGATCCTGATGAGTTTAAGCTCAGCCATATCTTATCTAAATTATTTAAAAGAAAACAAAAGAATAAGATGATGCTCAAGGTTTAAGCAAGGGAAATCGGTGTTAGCTGTATTACTAATAAAAAATAATTATTTTTCTTAACAAATTGTATGAACAAGGATTAAATTGGAATTCAAATTGAATAAAAACGTCATATATATTATAGATTATGGTCAAGTGGAAGGCAATTAATTCAATAGAAAAACTGGAGAAGAGAGTTGTCTGTGACCTAGAATCAAATCTGTCTCTTATCCTAATCTTCCATTCCAAGGTGAATAAAATGACGCTGATTTACAATGCATACTTGGAAAAGAATAATAATACTGAAATGATGAAAGAATTGCCGAGTGCAAATGAATGCTTGGAAGACGGAGATAGCCAACTACTCTAAATCTCTAATCTCCTATCTTAATACTTTTGAAAAAAAAATTACTCCGTACATTACAAGCAACTAAGCAAGTATATATGAAGTAATTTAGTTTTACTTAAGGTTATTGAGCAATTTTTTTTTGCAACACGTTTAACTGAATCTAGCAGCATACGGTAATGAATGCAACATGCCAACATGGAAGATATAAATACTTCTTGTTAAGAATTGCCTTGCTGTGCCCATAAACTACGGTGCTTCTTATTTTGAGTGAATCTCATTTCCGTTAATTATTTAACAAAAAAACACTCCATGTTTCTCAGCATTATCAAGTTATTATACAATCATACGTCAATGGTGCAAAAAAACAAGAACTTAAAAATAAATAAATTAAAATTGAAGATAAAGTTCCATATCATGCCAAGAGTTTTAAGATATTTCTGATATTAGCTGGTCTTGCCCGATACTATGGTGGTTCCTTCCGAGTATTTTGAGCACATCTTGTTCAGTATATTGTTAACTTAAAAAAAATGTTTGATGCTGTCTATAAAAAAAGTTAAAGAGTTATTACATTCATATTACAGACTTACAGTATTATACTTGGCAAGTCAATGCAAGGACCCAAATAAATTCCATGCCCACTTGTTATTCCAGATTTTATGGGATTACTAGTTATTATAGCTGAGGCATTGACAAATTACTAAAATGAGACCATGAAATTAGGGAAATACACCTACATTGCTAGAATCGTCGTTCACTAGTTGGGTTTCTATATTTGGGCTGACATTATTGGGTTGTAGTCCAATCCAATCAGCTCAATAACACGATCAAACAATTTGAGACAGTAAGTTTTTTTTTTTCTTTTTTTTTTTTTTTTCTTTTTTGACAGCTAAGTTTTCTATAATAAGAACTTGTCAGACTTTAAATTATGCATAACATGTCAAAAATTGCTAAGCTACTCTGTATTTCTATGGCTTGAGAAATATTATTCTATGTTCCAGGACAAGACAACAATGCAATAAGCAATCTAATAAAGCAAAGCAAGAATTAGAATATAATTCGTACCTCAAGTAACACTAACAGAACACCGATCTGACTTTAAACAGAGCTCCAGAAATATAGAATAGCCTCAGTTTGTGTTAGATTTCTTATAGCCCTTTCTCATGAATGTGTTTCTCCTTCACAACTTACTGCAGTAATATGTTTCTCACCTATTTACCTGCTAAAATAGAATGCTCTCTACGTGATTATAATCCTTTGTACTGACACTAATGACTAGATAGGCCAGGGCATCTACATAAGTTTCTCACTCGATATTTCTGACACCAAACTGTCTGAATTGCAGATTTGCAGCAGCTTGTCCCTGAAATTCCACCAAAGATACTATTTTTATTTTTAAAAGGCCTAAGATACCATAGTAGGAAGAGTTGATTCAAGTTGAAGGATGAAAAGCAAACAGCCTAAAATTGGTGGCACACAACGTATATGGAACAATCATATGAAACTAAGGTATCTTTCAAAACTCAGCAATGTGACTGTACTATACCAGGCTAAGAAAGCAATATAGAGAGTGGATACACAGAATCAACATGGCGATCAAAGAACCATTTAGTCATGCCAATGCTAACTGATCCACAAACAAGTATTCCAAATTATAAGCAGCATACTTAAGTGACAGTGATTTGACTAGTTTCTACTTACCAGGTCACCAGGATACAGCACAAAGCAGCTTAAGCAGCTGGAAAGATCCCATGGCGGTTCCGCAGAGAATTAATAGCTTTCTCATAAAAATCTGCTTTCTCAGGGATGGTTGTCTTACACACTGCATACAATAACAAAAGGGTATCATGAAATCTAAAAGCTCACAGATGACAAGAGCTCAATGCACTGCATTATTGAAAGGTATTCCCGCTCATTAACTACAATTCTATAGGTCTCATGCAAATTGCTGATAAGCAAATTAAGCCTAATTGAATGACTTCTATAGTTCTATAAACCTTGTCTGTTTGAGTTGATTTTGATTATGGTATCGAGAGCCTATTTTAGTCTAAAGAACATGAAGTAGAGGAAAGAATGAATTCTACCCCCACCCCCAAAAAAACATGCTTCAGCAGTTCAGAGTTTCAATCTTGAGCAATCATTTATTTGATATTTTGAACTGCAACACCTTTGCATGTGCTTGAAACAAAGCTAGTGTCACCAGTTCTTTAACGCTGCCATTGACTGAGTCGAAGTGCAATACACTTTACATGAAGCACTACTGATCAAGAGCTCTATAATATCTTGTATAACCTACCCTCCAAACAGTCCAGAGAAAATTGAAAACCTTAAAACCTATTGCAGAATTTATTTTAACCACACTTGAAATAATTTTAAAAATAACAAATTTCTAAGGATCCCCTACAGCAAGCAAACAGTATCCAAGTCAGAGACCTAAGTAAAAACTACCCCCAAACACCAATTATAAAAAAAATAAGAGAAAGAAGTTAAACTGCAGAGGAAAAAAATATACACTTTTGTACTGTTATATAAACACAGGATACTCTCGTCAGCAGATCATGCGCAAAATGGAAGACAATCACAAAGATAATAAATGTTGCTCAAGACCTCAAGTGTATTAAAAGTCAGTTACATACCACGAGTTGCAGTGGTTTGTGCATCCCCCATAAACTCAGCATATGAACTCTGTGGGTATAAAATAATCTCAATTAACTTCAATCAAACAACACCAATCTTCCAATACATTAGCAACACTTACTGCATAAAACAATAGTGTAATACCTTCATTGCATCACAGCTTTCAGCAATCCTTTCAGACATCTTCTTAAATTCCTTATCTGTCTCATCCATGAGTTGCTGACATGCTTGAGCCTGAATCTGTAGAAATAATAAACACAAAATTATTAACATTGCAGCTTTATAGATAGTTTTATAGAGTCACAAAGTCTCAAACAGTTTACTTTTCGATACTAGTCTTAGATGGAGTGTACTCCATGCTAATCTCAATATCAGAAATGAAATCATACATTACTCTATTTAGAGGCACATTATTGTATTGAAATATGGATTTCAAGGCAATCAGATACAAAGTCTTTGTATAGCATACATTAAGGACCTCTGCCTCATCTCATATTTAAATCTGCATAATCAAATGAGTTTGAAATTTTTATTGAAATAGAGCTACAAGATTCAGAGATATGAGATAAATATGCATCAAGTGCTGTATGCACACACAAACTCATATAAGCTCTTTTAGTCTCCAGCCTTATTAGATTAATTAATTCGGCATAGATCAAGATATATGATACAAAGTAGCTCATGTACAATATTAGCAAAGTTTATGTAAAACATTCAGAGGATCAAATTAACAGAATCATTTTAGACACCATATTTCCACTTTTACACAAATTGTAAGTTAATTGTATAGACACTGAATAAGCAAGATAATCAGTGTCCAAGTGTCCAACAGTTAAACTACCTACAGAGATGGCAGATGGACTGATTCCTCAAATCTTAACCCACATTCATATAAGCTTATGAGTTGTAACTGCAGAGTTCCATCATTCAATTCGAATCGACATAGCTTATTATTGTAAGAGAAAACCAATTCTCAGACTCTCAATGATTCTCAGCAAATTCAATGAAAAGCCAAAAGCATCCAGAATTCCACAATAATTGACATTTATCTTACGCGATTCTTCATATTGCACCTAAAATCTATACTAGATCAATAGGCAAAAAAAAAAAAAAAATCAAACCGTCCAAAACCAAATCAAGCCCTAACAGTTCAAAATTAAAACTTAGGCGCTATTAATATTATAAACAACTTCGCCGTTAGTGAAATATCAGTCACTGGAAACAACAAAAGCATACAGAACTGTCGAATAGTATCCAAATCGCTAATTTGAGCAAATCAAATAATTCAGGCAATTAATTGATATTAAGATGCTGATTGTTCAAAATTGCACTAAATCCTCTCTTAATACTACAATTATTTCGCATCAAACTCAAATCTCAATCATATTAACAACAAAAGAATACAAAATTCACAATTAATAACCTAGTCGCTTGAACAAATCAAACTATTCCAGCATTTCATTAGAATTAACATCTATTCACATTCAAAATTCAGCACAAAATATCAGCGAAAACCTAAAAACAATTTCCTAAACGAATCAACCTAACTGCACACAATTTTAGTGTTTCATTCAACTCAATACATATTTCAATTTCTACACATTAAATATCAGCGAATACCTAAAATTAGTTACCGAACGAATCAACCTAACTGCTTGCACAATTCTAGTGTTTCATTATTTCACTTTCAATTCAAAATCCAGCAAAATATCAACCGAAACCTCAAGAAAAATTTCAGAGATAAATTTGAGAGAGATACCTTCAAGCGTTTGTGAAGGCGAGAATTAGTGGATTCGACCTCCTTGATTATATCAGAGTGAGAGCGATCAGCCTGTCGCTTGATCGAGTCCAATTGAGACGACACCATTTCCTTCAACTCCGAAATCGAAGACAACGCCTCCAATTTGCGTTGCGGCGAAGACTTCAGCGACGATTTCCGGCGAGTTCCAGAGTTTGACGCCGGAGAATTGAGCTTGAATTCGAAGGATTTTTCCGGCGATAATTCGGTAGACTTCTTGCGAGTGTTCACTGCATTTCCTTCTGGTGGCGATGCTAGGAAATCAGCTGCTGATGTCTTCTTCGTCGCTGCTCTTCCTCTCTTCCTCATCTCTCTCTCTCTCTCTAGAATTCTCTCTCTAGCTTTCTTTCTCTCTTTAGTTTTCTCTCTGAAAATGATGATTTGTGTGAATGGTGAAATGAATGGCGGGAGCTCGGGTAACGTTTATATAGGGAAGAAGTTGATGGAAAATTTTGAAATCTTGATGGAAATTTGTGTGTTTGGGCTTTTGAGCATATAGTTTGTGTTGGGCCTAATCTGTGCACAAATAAAGCCATTTCTCTTTTTTTTTTTTTTTTCTTCTTCTTTTTTCCTGAGATGAGATGAAAGACCGTGAGACTCATGAGAACATGCTTGCTTCTTCTTGATTTAACTTTGTATCTTTGTGATAAATAAACTACGAGTAACAGAATTTGTTATATACATCGGGTGTACCTTACACGCGGAGTCATTTTCTCATTTAATCAACAAATGAGCAAAAAAACTTTTATTCATATGTTGATTAAATGAGCATAAATGACTCTGAATGTACATAATAGGCACTCGTAGTTTAATTTACTTATAGGGTAGATTTTTATGGTATCATATATGAAGTATGATTCGAGTCAACTTGTTATCAAAACTTTGCACAATTGCATGCAATATATTAAGTTGTTAACCTTCTTCAAAATAATAATAATAATAATGTTAAGTTGTTAACCATAGTCTATATGTCTAGCTAACTTATTCTCGTATAAATCTATGTTTTACATAATTCTTTTCTTTTGACACATTCAATATTTTTGTACTCAAAGTATCACTTCCATTCCTTATTATTTGTCTAGATTTCATTTCAATATTTTTTTTTTCCTCAAGTTAATTATCTTGATTTTTTTTTTTTTTTATTCTTTTTTGTTTCCCTCTCACCAATTCTTCTCAAGTCCCAAGTTCCCAACCAAAAGATAAAAATGTTGCCTTACCACAATAGGATGGGCAAACAAAAGGGTGAAGATAGTAGTTTAAGTATATAAGTATACTTTTATTTGTAGACTACATTACTCGAACAAAGACAAAGCACAAAACACATTGAAGAAGCAAAGCAAATAAAAACAACCTTGGGAACAAGGAAACATAATAAAATGGCTTGGGGATTGAGATTTCTACTTTAAGACATGATCACTCAATATCTTTTTGGCAAACTACGTACCTTTATAAAGTTGCATATTTATATATGTTTATTTTGTTCCCCATGAAACCCCAACATTCCTAACGTTAAGTTAAAGTTCTAAAAGTAGTTTTTGACAATATGTTGAATACTCTTTTGCTTAATGTATGTGTACTAGTTGGATGATTAGCGCACGGATCAATCAAGAGACCGGGAGAATTTTTTGTATTTCAAGTATGCGATGTGAAAGTGTTTTCAACTATGAAATATTATATATCGATTTTGTGTTACAATACTTATAAATGTACTCTCCTTTAAAAATATACGTACTCTCATTTAAGGAATGCTAATTGTATTATCCTTGTGACTTTGAGGTCACAAGTACAAACTTCACCAACTAATTACATTTGCTAGCTAGATAACCAAAGTTTGGATAACACCATAATAATTCAAATTTTAGGGGTTATGGGGTTCTTCCAAACACACAACACCAAAATAAACATTGTGAAGATATATTTTTAAAATTTAAATAAGTAAAAGAACATAAACTAAGATGAAAGAAAGTTTAGTCAAAGTTATCAAATCACCAAAGACAAATTAAACTTAGGAATGATCTTTTAGCCTTCTTAACACTTAAGGACTAATAAAGGCAAAGTTTTGTAAAAGTTAAGAATACATGTAATAGGTTAGTGCATTTGTACTTATACTCCTTTTTTTAAAATAAGAAAAGATACACATAAACTTAAAAACCCCTTTTTATTTTTAAAATTTAACTTACTAGTATAAAAAATGATATAGATCCAAGTAGAAAGAAAATATACTACTCCGTAATCCATATGTAAATACATATAGTCGATGTAGATATTATTAAATTTGCATGTATTATTCTAAATGTAAAAGAATAAGAATTTTAAACGCCCCCGAGACATTAGATAAACTCATAAACATTTAAAATACTTGAGTGGTACTCCGTATTAATTTAGACATATATGACAAAATCACGCACCGATCGGTGTAATTAATGTTCATTTCAATTTGATATATTTACTTTTAATTATTGTCTTATCCAAATTAAACTTTTATTGGAGAATAATATTTGGTAACACATTTTACTTTTAATGATTTATTAATCTTATTTGAACCGAAATTACACATTTATTGAGAGTTTATGGGAGAGACAAATACAAGTTGCCAAGTTGGTGATCATGATATTGGGCCTCTTAAGTCCTAAACAAATCTACATTGAGATTAGGGAACGGACCAAAAAGAGCAAAACTAAAGCTTTAAAAAATTTCAACTTAAAAAATGTGGCCATAAATCCTTAATTATAAACTTGCAATTAAACTGTTAAGGTTTATAAAATCATACAATAAGATTACTTAGTACCTTTGTTAGTTGGACCAAGACTATGCTTTTCTTGTTTTAGAAGAAGTTAATTAGTGGGTCCATTTTAATTAAGGGGAGAAAAAGTAACGCTTTTCTTGGTTTGAACATGAGAGTGAGAAAGAGAAGATGCTTCGTTGCTTTAAGTCAGACACAGGTAAAGCCCAGGGGGCAGGAGATCATAAGAATAAATTTAAAGCTTTTTAGAATTTGTTGATAATTTTAAAGGCAATTATTTCATCTTGCCTCCTAAAAATTACCAAAATAAAGAGTGTAATTAGGCCTCCATTATTAGGAACAATATAGTGAATTCAGTACAATAATGCTAATGCTTACAAAATTATGTTTTTATCTTACTTCGATTATTTTTAATGAATAGATTTTATTTGACTCGACAACATAAGGCTATAAGAGTGAGGGATAGCTCAAATGATTTGAGCATCCTTCTCTGTTCCAGGAAATCCTAAAATCAATTCTTGTCCCACCCTTGTAGATCTCTAAAAAAATAAAAACGACTATAGCCTTGTCAACTCATTTTGGGGGAGTTTGGGTAAAAGATTATTGGGGCACTGTTAGTTTACTAATCAATATTAGTTGATTGACCGTTAAAACAAACTAATTTAAATGTTTGGTGATTAGCTAATTAATTTAAAAGGCTTATTCCACCAAATAAGCTCGTTTTCACTAAGTTGCTTTAATTTGGGCTTTTTCATCAATCTATGTGACAATCAAACTTCATAGTAACCATATTCAACCCAAATCTCTGCCACAAAAAACACAAGTCATCCTTATAAATTTATCTCATTAATCTAAATCTTTAATCTAATAAAAGAATACTCATTATAACTTGCTCGTAATAGGTCATCCCCGTAAATTTTTAATTATCTCATTAATCTCAATCTTTAATTTGAAAAAATAAAGGAAAACTGAGACACTGAATATGTGATTGTACAGTTGTACCTATAAAATACAGATGACGTGCTTTTACTATTCTTGCATGTAACGTCCCATATACTCCGTACTGAATTACTGATGTATCCAGGTGCAATTTCTTTATATTTTTTTTTTTTAAAAAAAAAAAAAAAACAAAAACAAAAAAAGACCGATGATAATTGTAACTAAAATAATAAACTGTAGAAATTATAGAAATAAATAAGGTGACAAATACCGACCAGAGACAGTAACACATTACATCTTCCTGAGCGACTGCTGCAGTAAATGTGGACAACTGTATGTCTATCATTTGTAATGTTAAGTCACCCGTCACAGCCGTCAGTTTTAATTATATGACTACTGTAAATCTGTAATTTTCTCCTAAACTATTTTTGTAAAAAAATTCCTCCAAAATAAACCACATACTTCGTATATGTCTGTGGGACACTGGGACTGTAACTATTTTGGATTTTACCTTACTCGTATTAATAGCATTTTTTTTAATGCTATCAGTTTAATTATTGGCATATTTATACCGAGTAGCAATATTTATTCTCTTAAAAAAATTATAATACATCGTACTAAAAAATAAGTTAAACATTATGTAATAGTGCAAAAGTCAAAGTGATACGAGTATATTTTTTTTTTTTTAAAAAAGGACTATAAATATGTAGCACTATCTTATCATATTACCATGCTAAACTCAACCAGTCAACCTAATGGAAAATATTGTACTTTTGAATTTTGAAGTTGGTGGTTTAATTCTCATTGGATACATTATGGAGGTGGTCTGGGGTTTCCTTACAGCTTCTCCCTCACTTTTAAAGTGTTTACGACCTACAAAATACTCTTAGGGTCTATTCTGATTTATTGAACTGAACTCAATTGAACTGAACTGAATAAAGATGAAATGAATTGTTTATTAAAAAGAGAAAATAGAAGTTGAACTGAACTGATTGGAGTTAAGATGAAATGCTGAACTAAACTGAACTAGAATTAAGCTAAAGAGAACATGCCCTTATTATAAAATTGGTTTGTTTTACATAATTAAAATTAAAATGTTTTAAAATATAATTTGTGACAATTAAAATGAGACGGAAAAGATACACAATATTCCATCCGTTTTTAAATACTTGCTATACTTTCCTTTTTCGACCGTTTTTAAATACTTGATCCATTTTCTTATTTGAAAAGACTTTTATAATATTTTATTAATTTTTCTTCCCTAGAGGACCACCATTAATCATACGGAGTATTTTATTAATTTCATGTTTTCTCTCCTCCAGTTTTCTCCACTAATTTTATTTTTTACAATTTTTTATTCTTCTACCTACCTCACTACGGGCCTGTTCATATTTATTGAACTGAGCTGAACTGAACTGATTGGAGCTGAACTGAACTGAGCTGAAATGAATATTTTATGAAAGAGGAAAATTAGGAGATGAACTGAAATTAAGTAAATGTGGACAGACCCTACCTCCATATGTTATTGCTTCATTCAATTTCTCCTAAAACTCCGCACATGAAAAAATGGAGCAAGTATTTAAAAACAGAGGGAGTATATACGAAGTAAATGAGATACTCCGTAATATATTGTACATACATACAAAACAAATACCAGAAATTATACGTATTTATATCGCTATATATGCATGCATTAATAGGACAAGGTCACGTAACAACCGAGGTTCTTTTGCCAGCTTATTTAGTGGTAATTTGTTGGGGGAGAATCTTTTATCCGAAGGAATAATGAAGATCTTCTTCTTAACCTTTCAATTTGGGATTTTGACATATTGTTGCATTGTCAAACTTTGATTTGATGCACCATTTTACGCCTAGAGATCATCACAGGACATGGTGCCTTGACAATTGACATTATATTTATATTTGACCAAATTTTCAATTTGATTGATTTGTGAAATAATTTGGATTTCTTGCATTTCATATTTTGGTACAGTATTTACATTTTCCATAATTAACTTGTGTGCTTGCTTGTACAGTTGTACACACCTAGCTTAGGCTTTTTATAATTAAATGTAGGTTATTTAATTTC